CGTTATCCGTTAATCTCAAACTGTTAAATAAAAATTTTACCAAATACTTTATTTATAGTGGTTTCGAAATAAATAAATTTATCAAACACCTATATTTAACGGTTTAAGTAAATCCGTTAACCGTTACTCCAAAATCGTTATACCAAACGGAGTCTATATAAGATTAGAATGCATTAGTTTTGATTTTATAAAAAAATTAAAATTTTAACTTATACTCATAAATTAAATTTTTAATTTAAAATTAAAAAATTTATTATATTTTAATATAATTAATTTTTGAATTTAAATATTAATATTTAATAATATAAAATTTTAAATTTTAAACTAAGTTTTAATTAAATAAAATGATATATTTTAAAATTGAGATTTCAATTTATTTTGAAAATTTAGATTTATATGCACGTTTTCCTTATAATATTATATAAGATTTTTTTCTACCTTAAGTACAAGATAAAAGTGTAATAAATATATCTTTTCATAATTAATTTTTATTAAAAATATAAATATTGACTTTGATTTAATTAATTAACTAATTTAAATTATTCATGTGTTATTAATGTTAAAATATATGTCAAATTTTATAATTTTTAATGTGAATTAATTACAAAAAATACATATTTATTATATTTTTAACTTATACCCTAATTAGACAAATCCTATTATGTATTGTTATAAATTTATAATATATTAATATATTTTTATATAATTAGTTATTTTTTACCTAAAATTCAACTTAAAATTATTTAGATATCATTTAGTAACTCCTTACATTTATTTAATATTGTGTTATAATTATAAATTTTTAATTTTACATGAGATCATAATTATAATATTACTATTAGAGAGAAGTAACAAATAAAAACAATTTTGACCATAATCTCTTACTATTATAACAAAAAGGGGACGAATTTTATTAGATCAAGAAGAAATGTTAAATAAAATTAATTAATAACCAAATTTTTAGGAAGTTATTTTTATTACTTTCTCTGTGGTAAAATAATTATCTTTTCTTGCTTTAAATTTGCTTTAAATTAATTTTCTTTTTAATTTTTTTAAGGTAGAAACAGATTGTCCCTAATTCTTTTAATTTAGAAAAGAATTAAAAAAGGGACAATTATTTATTTTGGGACAAATAAAGTAATATGTTAGATAATAAGCTATACATAGGATTTCTTTCTTAAATTCCTTTTCATCCATCACAATATTCAAACGGGAAACTTTCAATATAAAAACTCAAATTTTTAACTAATAAGTTATTGAGTGTTATGTTTTAATATTTAATAAAAGTTAGATAGTGTCAATAATCTAAGTTGATTATTAATAATTTTTTTGAACTTAAATAAGAAATATTGAATTTGAATTTAAACGAAGAAGGAAGAGGTTGTCCTCCCATTAATTTTTTTGGCACCTTTTCTTCCCCATTGTCCTATAAAGAAAAATGAAACTAGATAACTGAAAAGACAATTTATTTTAAAGGTTGAAAGAAAAATGGAGAAATATTTATTTGGAGAATAAATGATGTAAAAAATGAATAACAGCGGATTCAATAATAAAAAAAAAAAAAGGCAAAACTCTACCTCAAGCCTCCAAACTTATGTTTAGATTCTTAATTAAAACTCTAAACTTTTTTTAAAGCTAATTAATTTTTAAATTTAGTAATTTAAGCAATTTAACGTCTCTTATTTACTGTGGATTTAATGTCAATTTATGTATTGTTTATATGAATAAGGTATTAACATATCATTATTTATATGGTAGGTATTGATTTCATCTATACAAGACACAAATGAGTATTACGTCTATAATAAGAAAGAGAGTTAAATTGTCCAAATAGCTAAATTCAGGGTTTATTTATTTTAATAAAAGTTCAAAGGTTTAATTTGGAATCTCAAATAAGTTTGAGGGCTAATATGGGATTTTGCCAAAAAAAAAAAGAAAAAGGGTATAATGACGGATAGATTCACGATGTTAAGGTTCATATTGTCGCTCTTAACGGATAGATTTGAAATGGTTTAAATTTTTTTTTTTAAAGAAATTGAAAATATAGATGAACCGAAGAAGTATGGGTGTTTAAAATTGGATTGGAAAAGGATGAATTTTTATTTTTTTATTTAAAAATATAATTTTTTTAGGTTTTTATATTAGGGTAGTAAATTTTTATTTTTCTCTATTTAAGATTATAAGTTTTGTTATTTTTTTATTTAAAGGTATAAACTTGTTATATTTCAATTAAAATTATAGTTTATCACATCATCATCATAATCATCATCATCATCATTCAATAAATTTTTAAATAAAACAATACAAAATTCATATTTTTATTTATAAAAATAAAAATAAAAATTTATCATTTGATATAAAACTTGAAAATTTTATATCTTTACATAAAAAAAATAAAAAAATATATTATAATCTACATTTTTTTTCACTAATGATGGTTATTAGTTTTATTGATTTATGAAAAGAATTGTCTTTTTATTTTTATTGTACTAGTATAAAATCTAAAAAGTAGCACATGTGGTTGTGATCAAAATTAGGAGTTAGAGGTGGCGTAGAGAGATTAAAAGCAGCAAGGGGGCCATAAATGTGATTGAGATTCCGTTCATCATCTCTGGTTTTAATGCATGTCCACCACCATCAAGTATTTCTTCTTCTTTCATTTTTTCAGGAAAGGCAAGGCAATCAATCACCACCATCAAGCATATAATGTTGGAATCACGCATTGTATATTTTTCCTCCTATTGTAATTATAAGATCTCGATCAGCATTTAGACCAAATAGAGCCCAAGGGTTGTCATGGCAAGTAATAAAATTTCAAGTTGAAGGATTCTACTCCAGTTGTACAATTTATTATAAAAAATATATATCCTATTGACATAAATTTTTCTTTTCATTGCCAAACACAAAACATATACAAAAATGTAAGTAATAAACCTCTGCCCTTTTTTTTTTTTTTTCATGGGTTGAGCGTTGAATTAATTTATATATTTTTTAAAACTAATTTTTATCTAATCAAATCAATCAACAATTTAAATAACTCAATAATTATTTTATTTTATTTAAAATAAAAAATTTTAAATTTAAATCTCATGATATATGAGTGGGTGAGATAAAAAATAAAAAATAATTATTTTTAAATGTACAATCAAGATAGACAAAAAATTATCTAAGCAGATGAAAGACAGCCTATCCCTGCTGGGTATATTTCTTTAAAAAAAAAAGAAATAAAAGGAAAATATAAATCATAAAATTGATTAAAAAATAAGAAAGGATAAGAGTCTCGAGCCCATGTTTGCGGACAGGCCAGCATCTATGGTGGTGGGGTCCTTATTACCACGCCGACGCCATAAGTCCCGTCACTAGCGGTGTCAATTTCTTTAGTTGGAATGGCCATTAGGCATTAGCCATTTATTATATTCACAAATGCTAGAGTTAAAATATCATTTATTATTATAAATTTATAATTATAATATAATATTAAATAAATAAAAATATATAATATTATAAATAATTTTTTAAGTAGAAAAATTGATTATTTAACAATATATTATATTTTAAGTTTAAAGTGACTCGTTCTTGTATCTTTCCCATTCTTCTGCCTTCACTTCATGCACGCAGAAAAAACCTTACCCAAAAATTTTAATTTTATATATAAATTTGAAAGTAAACATAGAGAGAGTTTGACAAAGATTAAAAAATACTTTACTTTAAAGATATTATTTATTTCTTATAAATTTAAACTTTTATTAAAGAAAAATTTTAAAATTATTTGTTAAAATCAGTTCTAAATAAGTTTTGAAAAATTTTAGATGTGTAATTTTTTTAAAGCTTACTTAAAATTCACTTAAAAAACTAATTTTGTTGTTTCCCTCCAATAAAATTTTAAACTTATGAAAGATGAATAGTCATTTAAAATAAGCATTTTTTAAATTTTGTCAAATACCTCATAATTATGTTTTTGACAATGATACACACACTCTACAAAGTTACATACTTTGTTATTTATTGACGAAAACTATTAGTGTGTAATAGAAATCGTCAATTTTAATGGCATAGATAACAAAAGTCGTCAGTATTAACGGTATAAGTAACAGAAACCATCAATGTGTAACGGAGTGTGTAACGGAGTGTATAACTTTGCAAGATATATGTATTATTTGTCTTAGGTTTTTTTGGATGGTTAAAAGCAATAAAAGTTGGCTTTGGTTTAACTTTTGAAGATTGGTGTAATCAATAATGGATGCTGATAACTTCAATATTGTTGGCTCAAATTATGGCAATCCAAGAGGGGTGAATTGGGTTTTCAAAAATTTTATGCGATTTTCCAAAACAAAACAATGAACAAGCATAAATAATTCACGAGTTATTGAAAACTTAAGTAAATAAAATGCATAAATTAAAAGAGTAAGGTTAGAGATACCAAATGTTTTGATTTACACTGGTTCATCATCCTCTTTGGTGCCTACATCTAGTCCCTAAGTTTCCTACACTCAAGATTCAATCTACCAACACTAGTTTCGATGGGTGCTAATGAAACCAATTACAATTACAATAACTCACAGGTGTTATCCTCCATTCAATTCTCTTGTTACAAAATTTTCAACCTTTCCTATACCTAAAGAATAAATTACTAGATCTAATTAATAAGGTTTTCCCAATTCCTCTCTCACTTGTTACAATGCAAAAGAACAAGATAAGTCTAAAAAATAATTAATTTCTCAAAGAAAGAAGATGACAGCTTGAACGCTCTTGGTTTCTCAAATTGAATGCTCTTCTTTCTTCTTCTCCCTTGCTTCTAGATTTGATTTTATGCTTTGAGGTTGGTCAATCAATGGTTTATGACTAAGAGAGCTTAATCGGAAAGAATCAATACCAATTTTGGTAAGTTATTCAAGATCTCAACATTGAGAGGTTGGAACTTGCCTTCCAGGGTTGGAACCTTTACTATTTCTCCACACCTCAAATGTATTCATGGTTTTGTACCCTAAAACTGGGGGTTGGAACCTAAAACATGACAAGCAATTTCAACAAGGATAAAAAAACATTAGGGATTTCGAATCCTAATATTAGGAATTGGAATCACAAGCGAAAAGTGCAATTTCTACTTTTGTTTATCACCATGTAAAGAAACACATTGAATAAGAAATCACACAATAAATAGTCTTTTATATAAAAGGAAATATATTCAAAATAAATATTGAAGGGATATTAAAATTATTAAAGGTAGGACTCTCAAATTTACCCCTCAAATAGGAGGGTAAGGACAAATCTATCCCTGAAAAAAAAAGGAACAAATTACCCACTACTAAAAATTGCTTATATTCAGATCGAAACAATTTAGATCAATTTAATTTTGGTCTGAAAATATATTAATTCGGACCGATATTGGTCTGAATAATAATTGATCAAAACTAACTGGTCAGTTTATTAGGAAATTTTTATTTAGGCCGACAATGATTTGAAAATTATCGGCGCCAAAACAATAAAAATGCGCCAAAACTTTTCTGACCAATAGTGGTCTGAATAGTGTCATTAAAAAAATAATTTTCTAGACAATTGAAGGGGTGTTTTTTTGTTGGATATTTTCAAACTGACATTGGTCTAAAAATTACAAGGCAATTTTTTAACTTAACTGATATTTATTAACTTCTTCTCTGTAAAACTTATTCAAACCAATAGTGGTTCGAATATGAATACCCTTTTTTTCTTTTGGCAAAATACCCAAATCTACTCCCAAAGTATAGTGGTAGGGACGGATCCACCCTTAAACAAAAAATGGGGACAAATCCACTCACAAAGTTCTCGACTTAGACAAATAGCCCATTATTTGATGGGCCACGCCATGTCAATTGATGTCATCTTTCCATTAATCGCGTCTTGACTCATACATTTTAAACACGATGGAGGTTTTTTTGCCTGTGTGGATGTTGAACTGATGCATTCCCGCTCATTTTAATCCTATGTGGCAACTTTTCCTCCTTTTCCATTACACATCAACTGGGTCTCACCTAAAAATATATAAACACTAAAAAAAACCCATATTTTATCTGTGTCTTCCCCTTTCCTTCCCTTTTCTGTGGTTAGGATTTCTCTTTATCCTCCAAATATGGGTTAGGAGAAAATATTTCCAAGATAAAATATTTACACTTGAAAAATATTTCCAAGTGTAAATATTTATTACAAGATAAAACAAAATTAAATACCCAAAGAAATTACCCTTACAACATTGAAGAAGTTTGGGCACCCATAAAAGTTTCTGCCAATGCTCCATGGTCTCTATGAAGTCCACCTCGATGCCTTGAATCCACACTTGCAGAACATCTGATGCCTTTCATATGTGTGCTTAATCAATCCAAAATCCCTCACCCAGAGGAAGTTTCAAGTCCTACTGATCGAGACTTAAAAGAAGATGCCATGGAATTAGCTTCCCCTAACCAAAGTGCGAATCCCTTACCTGTGCTCCCACAATTGAGACAATAAAATTAGAAATAAACATTCAAATATAATTAAGAGAAAAGGAAAAATCAAAAGACCTAGACATTAAAAATATTAAAATGTCTAATTATAATTACCTGATAAATTTGATGAACTTAAGATTCATTCTATACCTCACATATTTAATATCTGTAATTGGAAGTTGTGACATTTGATTTTCCCCTTTCTTATAAAGTAAAGGCTGCTCAAAACAAAAATAAGCAGAATCGTGTCGGAAACTTGTGTGTTTGGCTTTACTTTAACTTCTAGAAATGCCAAAATGAACACATATATCTGCTTTTAAGTCTTCCCTGTAACCTTCTGACTCCTTTAACTCCTCCCTTTTACGACTCTAAAATCAAGTACACTAAATTAAAGGTCAAATTCGAATAAAACTGGCTAAAAATTAGTCCACTAAAATGATTTGCAAATAGGAAACATAAAGACATGAATCTAAGAAAAAAGTAAACAAACAAGATTTGAAAGAAAGAGACATAATCGGAGCTAAAAAAACAACGGTGGTGGCAACATCGCAGCACAAGGCTGTAGCCTTGATATTAGTGGATTGGGGGCCAGTAATGGACTCCCCTAGTGCTCAACCACACCTCCCACCTCCCTCGATTCTTTCCTTTGCACACGATTGGACTGTCTCATCGCCACCGCTCGATTGGACATTAGATCTTCCTTTTCACCATTCCATGTGTCGTCTGTTCCTCTTCGTTCCTCTCCTACTTGATCCATGAGCAAATCCCCATAACCAGCCACTTGTTCCCCTCCTTCAACTATTCCATCTTCTCCCCCACCCACCCAAACTGATCTGCACATCCCAGCATACTGGTCAAGACTTGGTCAAGTGTTGCTCATATGGTTGCGTGTTCAGCTTCCCCTAACCCAGATTTGGAGGATAAAGAGAAACCCTAACCCCAAAAGAGGGAAGGAAGGGGGAAGACACAGATAAAATATGGGTTTTTTAGTGTTTATATATTTTTAGGTGGGTCTCAATTGATGTGTAATGGAAAAGGGGGAAAAGTTGCCACATATGATTAAAATTGAGCGGGAATGGGTCAGTTCAACATCCACACAAGTAAAAAAACCTCCACCGTGTTTAAAATGTATGAGTCAGTATGCAGCTAACGGGAAGATGACGTCAGTTCACGTCGCCCGTCAAATAATGGGTTATTTGTCCAAATCGAAAACTTTGTAGGTGAATTTGTCCCTGTTTTTGTTTGAGGGTAGATCCGTCTTTGTCACTATACTTTGAGGGTGGATTTGGGTATTTCGCCTTTTCTTTTTTCCTTTAAATGTTTTATATTTATTCATGAGTTTTATTCTTTATTTATTATTTCAATTATTATGCTATTTGTTAATTTAAGTCACTATCATTATGTTTATTCTATTTTGCATATTTTGTAATGTCATACTTATATTTATTTTATTTAATATATTAATATAATTTATTAAATACTATAATTATATTATGTGTATTGTG